TGGAGTCGTACTCGTCGTGATCCAAATCACCGATGATCCTAGCGCCGAACGGACGGCACCTCCGCGTTCAACACACGTACGGAGCAGCGATGTCTCCTCCTTCTTGATCCAGCAAGGGGGAAGGAGAGGTTGATGGAGATCCAGCAGCACGACGGTGTGGTGGTGGAAGTAGCGGGATTCCAACAGGGCTTCGCCAAGCGCTGCGGGAGGAGGGAGATGTGTCATGGGAGGGAGAGGGAGGCGCCAGGGCTTAGGTGCGGCTGCCCTCCCTTCCCCCCACTATATATAGGGCCAAGGGAGAGGGGGGGGCGCAGCCTTGGCCCTTCCTCCAAGGAAGGGTGCGGCCAGGGAGGAGTCCATCCTCCCCAAGGCACCTAGGAGGTGCCTTCCCCTTTTAGGACTCTTTCTTTCCCTTATCTCTTGGCGCATGGGCCTCTTGGGGCTGGTGCCCTTGGCCCATATAGGCCAAGGCGCACACCCCTACAGCCCATGTGGCCCCCCGGGGCAGGTGGACCCCCTTGGTGGACCCCCGGACCCCTTTCGGCACTCCCGGTACAATACCGATAATGCACGAAACTTTTCTGGCGACCAAAACAAGACTTCCCATATATAAATCTTTACCTCCGAACCATTCCAGAACTCCTCGTGATGTCCGGGATCTCATCCGGACTCCTAACAACTTTCGGGTTACCGCATACTAATATCTCTATAACCCTAGCGTCACCGAACCTTAAGTGTGTAGACCCTATGGGTTCGGGAGACATGCAGACATGACCGAGATGACTCTCCGGTCAATAACCAACAGCGGGATCTGGATACCCATGTTGGCTCCCACATGTTCCACGATGATCTCATCGGATGAACCACGATGTCAAGGACTTAATCAATCCCGTATACAATTCCCTTTGTCTAGCGGTACGATACTTGCCCGAGATTCGATCGTCGGTATCCCGATACCTTGTTCAATCTCGTTACCGGCAAGTCTCTTTACTCATTTCGTAACACATCATCCCGTGATCAACTCCTTGATCACATTGTGCACATTATGATGATGTCCTACCGAGTGGGCCCAGAGATACCTCTCCGTTTACACAGAGTGACAAATCCCAGTCTCGATTCGTGCCAACCCAACAGACACTTTCGGAGATACCCGTAGTGCACCTTTATAGCCACCCAGTTACGTTGTGACGTTAGGCACACCCAAAGTATTCCTACGGTATCCGGGAGTTGCACAATCTCATGGTCTAAGGAAATGATACTTGACATTAGAAAAGCTTTAGCATGCGAACTACACGATCTTGTGCTATGCTTAGGATTGGATCTTGTCCATCACATCATTCTCCTAATGATGTGATCCCGTCATCAATGACATCCAATGTCCATGGTCAGGAAACCGTAACCATCTATTGATCAACGAGCTAGTCAACTAGAGGCTTACTAGGGACACGGTGTTGTCTATGTATCCACACATGTATCTGAGTTTCCTATCAATACAATTCTAGCATGGATAATAAACGATTATCATGAACAAGGAAATATAATAATAATCAATTTATTATTGCCTCTAGGGCATATTTCCAACAGTCTCCCACTTGCACTAGAGTCAATAATCCAGTTCACATCGATATGTGATTAACACTCAAGGTCACATCCCCATGTGACTAACACCCAAAGAGTTTACTAGAGTCAATAATCTAGTTCACATTACCATGTGATTAACACTCGATGAGTTCTGGGTTTGATCATGTTATGCTTGTGAGAGATGTTATAGTCAACGGGTCTGAATCTTTCAGATCCGTATGTACTTCGCAAATCTCTATGTCATCTTTTAGATGCAGCTACTACGCTATATTTGGAGCCATTTCAAATAACTGTTCTACTTGGAGCTATTCTAAATTGTTGCTCCATTATACGTATCCGATATCTCTACTCAGAGCTATCCGGATAGGTGTTAAGCTTGCATCGACGTAACTCTTTACGACGAACTCTTTATCACCTCCATAACCGAGAAACATATCCTTATTCCTCTAAGGATAATTTAGACCGCTATCTGGTGATCTACTCCTAGATTACCTTTGTACCCTCTTGCCAGATATGTGGCAAGGCACACATCAGGTGCGGTACGGTACCGGGACATGGGGATGTCATTGATAACGGGATCACATCATTAGGTGAATGATGTGATGGACAAGACCCAATCCTAAACATAGCACAAGATCGTATAGTTCGTTTGCTAGAGTTTTTCCAATGTCAAGTATCTTTTCCTTAGACCATGAGATCGTGTAACTCCCGGATACCATAGGAGTGCTCTGGGTGTACCAAACGTCACAATGTAACTGGGTGACTATAAAGGTATACTACGGGTATCTCCGAAAGTGTCTGTTGGGTTGACACGGATCAAGACTGGGATTTGTCACTCCGTATGACGGAGAGGTATCTCTGGGCCCACTCGGTAATGCATCATCGTAATGAGCTCAAAGTGACCAAGTGTCTGGTCACGGGATCATGCATTACGGTACGAGTAAAGTGACTTGCCGGTAACGAGATTGAACGAGGTATTGGGATACCGACGATCGAATCTCGGGCAAGTAACGTACCGATTGACAAAGGGAATTGTATACGGGGTTGCTTGAATCCTCGACATCGTGGTTCATCCGATGAGATCATCAAGGAGCATGTGGGAGCCAACATGGGTATCCAGATCCCGCTGTTGGTTATTGACCGGAGAGCCATCTCGGTCATGTCTACATGTCTCCCGAACCCGTAGGGTCTACACACTTAAGGTTCAGTGACACTAGGGTTGTAGAGATATGAATATGCAGTAACCCGAAAGTTGTTCGGAGTCCCGGATAAGATCCTGAACGTCATGAGGAGTTCCGGAATGGTCCGGAGGTGAAGAATTATATTTAGGAAGTGCAGTTTCGGCCATCGGGAGAGTTTCGGGGGTCACCGGTATTGTACCGGGACCACCGGAAGGGTCCCGGGGGTCCACCGGGTGGGGCCACCCATCCCGGAGGGCCCCATGGGCCAAAGTGGGAAGGGGAACCAGCCCATAGTGGGCTGGTGCGCCCCCCTTGGCCCACCCCATGCGCCTAGGGTTGGGAACCCTAGGGTGGGGGGCGCCCCACCTGGCTTGGGGGGCACTCCACCCCTTGGCCGCCGCCCCCCCCCCCTAGGAGATCCCATCTCGTAGGGCCGGCGCACCCCCCTAGGGGGCCTATATAAAGGGGGGGAGGGAGGGGGCAGCCACACCCTTGAGTCTTGGCGCCTCCCTCTCCCCTGCTACACCCCTCCCTCTCGCAGTATAACAGCGAAGCCCTGCTGCGGTGACGCCCTGCATCCACCACCGCGCCGTCGTCCTGCTGGATCTTCATCAACCTCTCCTCCCCCCTTGCTGGATCAAGAAGGAGGAGACGTCACGCTGACCGTACGTGTGTTGAACACGGAGGTGCCGTCCGTTCGGTGCTAGGATCTCCGGTGATTTGGATTACGTCGAGTACGACTTCCTCATCCCCATTCTTTGAACGCTTCTGCGCGTGATCTACAAAGGTATATAGATGCAATCCAATCACTCGTTGCTAGATGAACTCATAGATGGATCTTGGTGAAACCGTAGGAAAATTTTTGTTTTCTGCAACGTTCCCCTACACTAATACGTGTTCAATTACAAGAATCTCAACATCTCCTTCTCACACAATGAATATGCCATATGTGTTCAAATAAACTCAACATCTAATATTTCAAATAAAATCAACATCTAATATATATCTAAAAAAACAGATCATATATCTCTACAAAACTCAACATCTCATTGTTATCTATATAAATAGGTATCTCGTATGTATAAACAAAACAATCTAGGGTTTCACTAACAAGAACTATATATTGTGAACTAAGCAACAACACTACGATACTACCACTATGACTACACATCCTAAATCAAGCAAATCAAGCAAATCAAGGGTTCCATCAAATCTTGGACAAATCTCTAAAATGGCAACAAATTTACGGAGGAAAAGAAAGGGAACGGATGAGTTTACCTAGTAGGATGGATTGGAGATCGAATCCACGGATCAAATCTTCAGATCTGATAGGGATGTGGGGGGGATTCGATGGGGGTGCCGCCGCTGCTCTCTGTCCAGAGAGCGGAGAGGGAGAAGAACTGCCTGGCCGGACTGGGCCGATGCGCTTTAACTCACTGTGCAGCGCCCAAGAGCTAGGCGCTGCACATTACAAATGTGGCGCCTAAGTCTGAGGCGCTGCAGTGCTGTCTGTGGGGCCGCAACTGGACCAGGGCTGCCACGCTGGCAGGAGGTGCGACGCCCAAGAAAGAGGCGCTGCATAGTAGTGTGTGGCGGCGCCATATGAAAGGGTCAGCAGAGTGAATTTTTTTTAAAACGAGATCAGTTTGTGATTTGATTTGTACCTCATGTCAAATATGTGATTTCTGCCTCGGAGTGGAGGCGACTCGCTCTCGCTGACGAGACGCCCGGGGTGAAAGCGACGGTGACAGACCGGAGACAGCCCGCCCAGAGCGCGGGGCGTCCACGACAGATCGGACTAGTTTCAACATTCCAAAAAAGAAAACAGATCGGACTAGTTTTGTTTATCCTTTAGACTGTAGTCAACGTCAACAATATCAAAATCTCTTCCCGTTGAAGTAACAGCTGGCACGGTAGTACTCTGTCGCCGCACCAAGGAGCTAAGATTTGTATTTGCAGACGCCAAGCACATACGTACAGCACTACGTAGAGTACGTGGTATAAATAGTTCCAACAAATAATCCCAAAATAGCATTCGTGTTAAGCACATACTACATGAAAGAGGAGTATGATTCAACACAACTTTTCCATTGATCGGGTGCCTATCTATACGGAATTACTTACAACCGAAGGTAGGACACGTGCTAACCACGAAGTGAGCAGGATCTACTGTCCTTAATGTGCATGTGTGTTGATTGAGAGGAGACAAACGCACGCTGACACTAATCTACGTAACTGCTAGCAAACATTTGCCATGACACCCGCTAGATCGGCCACGGGTCGTTTCTTTCCCGGCGCGGGAAACATTTCCAGGGTGTTGTTGACCCCCACCGGAAAAAGTAAGCAGAGCTCGCTCTTGTCTAGCTTCATCAAGTCATGCAAGCCATCCCAGAGCCGTTCCTCTGTTTCCTCCCCGTCCGCGCTGCTGGGCGACGGCGAGGGCGAGCGCGTGTCTGACTTGGCCGCGGCATTGCCGCTGCCGCCCAGCTGCTGCTGCTGCTGCTGCTCGGGGAAGGGGAAGTTGAGCTTGGCGCGCGGGCCGCGGAACTCGACGGCGGCGCGGTCGTAGGCCCTGGCGGCGTCCTCGGCGGTGTCGAAGGTCCCGAGCCACACCCGCACGGCGCGGCGCGGGTCGCGGATCTCCGCCGCCCACTTGCCCCACGGTCGCTGCCTGATGCCGCGGTACTGGGTCTTTTTGTTTCTCCGCCTCCTCTGCGGCCCGCCCACCGTCGCCTTCGGTGCGATCGCCGGCCTGGCCCCCGCGCCGAAGAACTCGCACCCGAGGCACCCATCCATCCCGCACGCCGTGCACACCTCCTTGCTCGCCGGGAAGAAGAAGTCCGGCACCGGCGTGGTGTACCCTGAGATGACGTGCAGCAGCGCGGCGACCATGGCGGTATGCTCCTGCTCAGACGAGATCGCCCTGGCCGCGAACGGAGGCGGCGGCGGCTCGGCGGTCGACGGGTCCTCGAACTCGAAGTGGCCGTCGAACCGAATCATGTACCCCTGTCTCGCATCCATTGCTCGTGGGCGTTCCTACTCCTGCTGATTGAGCTGAGGCCGGGGCTGAGAGCTGACTGACTGTGGTCTGTGGGTGCTGTCTGAACTCTGCAGTGAGAGCTCCTCTCGAGCTGGGTGATGGCTTGGTGTTTGTCGTTTCAAGCGATGATGGGGAACAAGTGAGGCGGGGGAGAAATATATACGCTCCGGTCGACGTCGGAGGGGACGCGGCGCATGCAGAAGAGAGCTCACCGACCTTCTTTTGGATGGGGGCTAGCTGGCTCATCCAGAGCCTTTTAAGGCCAACGGGGATGGCGTGCGAAACGTGCGCGTCCAGGGGCCTCGGGTTTGTTTGTTTGTTTATCCCGGTTATCATGTCCTCCAGGGACGGGACATGACGGATCGGTCGGGTGAGGGTGACGCCGGTAATGACGTTAGTGGAAAATGAGAGTGGGATTTGGAAGGGATGGGATCTGTACAGCAGATGACGTCGGTCCGTCCGTTGGTTGAAAGGGTCAAAGCGGGTCAAGGGACGCTTGGTTCTCAGGGGGTTGGCCGTGAGAGGTCGGCTAGCTGGTTTTGTTGGAAGTGTGCTTCTTCTAGATGGTTTTCTTATTTTTCGATTGACGACCAATCTTCTATATCTAAATAGCTAGCTTTCACTAATTATTTCTCTCAACATGCAAGCATGCCACATCATTACACAACATGCATCAAAAAAGGCCCACCCCCACTATTTTATGTCTCTCAACATGCAAGCATGCCACTTCATCATGATATGCATGAAAAAAAGACTTATCTCAACATGTAACATACATGAGGGTTTTCATTCTATTATGCTATATACATTAAATAAACATTTTACAACTATATAGTAATCAAGCACAATAAATTATACTATTTATTTTTATTGTTAGCTTTTTATATTATTACTTCAAATATTCATGTTTCATACAACGAGTCACATTGAAATATGTTGCAAAATATTCCCGCAACAACGTGCGGGGTATCATCTAGTTCATTAGAGCAACTCTAACGGACCGACTCAAACGGACGGCGCATTTATCCGTTTTTTATTTGTTTGGGTCTGCCGCCCGCCCGGCGTCCATCCAGTTTTGCATTTGGGTCGGCAGTGCGCCCAACCCGCCGACTCATTTCATGTCTGCAATCAATTTTTCAATAAAAAAAGCCTCACGGCCGATCATGCCAGCGGCCATGTCTCATGCCGGCACCATGTCGGCGCCGGCATACAATGTCAGCTTTAGAAAATATCACCACAGTTCATGTTGGCGCACTCGCCAGCCGGCCGGCACACATGCCAACACACAAAAAGGGTGGGACTTCAGTTCGACCACGCCATCACGGCTCCCATGGTCATGCCGGCACACCTGCCGGCATACGGAAAAGATGGCGCTTGCCGCCATAGATCACTCGTCGTCGAACTTGAGCATGTCGGCCTGCATCTTCTCGAACCACGGCCTCTTCCTTGCCGACACGGTGTTGAGATCCACCTTAATGATCTCCACCCCGGTCATCATGCTCGCGAGAGCCACTTCTTTCGCCTTGGTCTTGGCGTTGGCGGCCTCGATCTCTAGCATCTTGGCTTGCTTCTCTGCCTCTAGCTCGAACATCTTGGCTTACTTCTCGGCGTCCAGATCAAGCCTCCTCCTTTGGATCTCCATGAAAGCATCCATTTGCTCCGCCTTGAAACGCCGGCGCTCCTCCTCCCTTGAGTCCTTCTTATTCATTATGCCGTCCATGCTTGCGATCAAGGCGTTGGTGGCCGCATCTCGCTTGTCCTCCTTCTTGGAGTTGGTCTTCCCCCGCAGCCGTGCCGGCTCGCCCTCCCCAACATCCTCCACGGCTTTCTTCCCCCCACGTGCCTTGAGTGCGGCATATTGCGTCTTGAACTTCTCCTCGTCCTTGATGACCCGATAGCAACAGGAGAGGTTGAAGCACTTGCCATTGTGTTGAACCTTGAATGCCTCCAAAGCTTGGAATGCCTACAAAATGTTCTCATGCAAGCATATGGGCAAGTGATATGCAAATGAGCACGCGAAGGATGAACTTGATGACACAAAAGAGGGCGGCTTGCTTGCTAGCATACCATGTCTTGCATGCCGATGCCGCTCACGGGGCGGGCCTTGACGCTCTCAAGAGTGGCGCAAAACTTGTTTCACTCTTGTCGGATCACCCTCCACCGCTTGAAAATGGTGACCCACCCGCACGTGCTCACAAATTGGTAAGGTGGAAACTTCTTGCGCTCATGAAATTCTCGGTGGACACGAATCCAAAAGGTTGAATGCTTTTGCTCGGCGCCCGTCTTGGGGTCTTGTCCAATGTCTCGCCAACACTCGCAAAGAAGCTTGTCTTCGGCCGCCTTGTACGCCTTCGTGCGCTTGCTCTTGCGCTTCGGCTTAGGACCAGCGGCTTGGTTGGCGAGCTCGTCCTCGAACAAAGGCTCCACTTCGATGTCGCACTCATCCTCTTCCTCTAGCCCGTAGTCGTTCGGGAACTCATGGTCGAGGGGGAAGCCGTCTAGGTCGATGCCGACCTGATCACGCATGAAGGCCGCCTGATCGGGATCATAGCCAACGGCCGGCGTGAACGCCCCGCGGCCGTCCTGGCTTTGTGTCTCGTCGGGATCGTAGCCAGCGGCCGGCGCACCGCCCTCGAAGATGAGGTTCTGCATGTAGTCCTCGTCGACGGCGGACGGCATTTCCTCGAACAGGTTGCGGGCGTCTGGGAGCCCGCCCGCCGGCGTCTGCCGCGCGCGTTTCCTCGTGTCGCCGGATGACGAGCCACCGACCACTGGGGTGGCGTTGAGGTCGACGGGCGCGGGCGCGGGCATGGAAGGCGCGGCCACGCTCACGTCGGGCGAGCACTCCCCGGAGAGGCGGGAGCCCTGCGGGTAGACGTGGAAGGCGGGGATCGGGTTGCAAGCCGATGCGCGGGGCCAGTCGGGCAGCGCCATCCGAGGAAACGCCGACAAGCCGGTGTTGGCCGCGGCAACGGCGGCTTGGACGAGGCCGTGCTGGCTAGGGTTTAACCCTAGCATGTAGAGCGCCTCCCTCATTGCCGTCGCGACGCGGGCGTTGGTGACCTCCTGCTGCGCGGCGGCGATGACGGCGGCCTGCGCGGCGGTCTCATCCCTCGCGTCTGCGGCATGCCTCCGGCCCTTCCTCTTGACCGACTCCCTTACCTGTTGTTCGGGCGTCAGCGCCTTCTTTGGGTTGGTCGCGGCGGCGGTCTTGCGCGGGGCACGAGGCTTGCCTTTCCCGAAGGGGGCGGCGACACCGGACGAGGCGAGGGAGGCCAGGCCGGCGGCGGCGTCGAGGTCGATGGCGTTGCCCATGGCTGGTTGGGGGCGGGAGCGCACGCGGGCGGGAGTGTTTTGGGAGAAAATGAGGGGAAATGGTGCTGGCTTCCGCCGACCGGCGGGCCCAGGAAGAGGAGTAGGCGCGCGCGCGTCCGTTTCATGTCTGCGCCGATGCAAATCCGGCACAAAATTGGGCCGGAAAAGGGTCACCCACGGACGAAAAACGGACGCACGTCCATTTGGGTCGGCGCGTTGGGCCGATTTTTCTGTCCATACTGACCCAAACGGACGGCGGCGAACGAAATGAATCGTCCCATTGAAGTTGCTCTTAAGGGCCTGTTCGGAACGAAGATATACAAAGAAATACGGGAGTAGCAATAAAACATACAGTATGAATGAGATTACACAGGAAACCATAGAAGAAACTGGAGGACGGAGCGTTCACATCAATGCGAAAACACACATGAAAAGAAAAAATATCTATTTTTTATTTGGCTAAGCGGTGATCTTCTTTCGTCTGCAACCTCAAGCGTCTTCTCTTGCTGAATAACATTGGCTCGTGGCTGATTTTTTTTCAATCCTATGGAATCACCCGAAATCTGTATGGCCAAGAAATCTCTACCTCCCTCACAAAAAAATGAAATCTTTAACGAATAATAAAGGGATATTAGGACACCGAAATTTCTCCAAAAGTTTGCAAAATATTATCCATCTATGCCACCTATGCCGGCCCGTACAGTAGGACTGTTTTATTCTACACTCTGCGCGCTTGGAGAAGACAAGGCGCCCCTATTTGGGCCAACCCATGTCAGGGCGGCCTATTTTTGTTTTTATTTTCTTTTTTCTTTTTATACTGTAAATAATTTTGGGACTTCAAAAAAGTTCCAAGAATAAAAATATACGAATTTTAAAACTAACTATTTAATAATTCATAAATATTTGTGGATTCAGAAAGTGTGTACGCTGTTTCTAAAAAGTTCGAATATTAAAAAATGATCGTAATTTTGAAAGAAAATGTTCGTGAAATCAAAAAATGTTCATGATTTTATAAAAGTTCATTTATTATAAAATGTTAATGAAATTGAATAAAATTTCGCCAATCAAAAAAATGTTCATGAACTGAAAAATATCCTAAAATTTAAAAATTGTCCGTGACATACAAAATAGTTTATTTATTCATAAAATATTCACGAATTCAAAAAAAATGATCATGCATTTCAAAAAAAAATCGTTAAATAGAAAATGTGTGGATTTCAAAAATTGTGCCAGCAATTTCCAAAAAAATGTTTGTCTATTCAGAAATGTTCACCTATTCAAGAATTTTTTTAAAAAAATGTTCACAATTTGTTTTAAAATGTTTTGAAAATAATGTCAAATGTTCATGAATATAATGTTTCATGATTTTTAGAAAATGGTCGAAAATCTGTAAAAATGTTGACGAATTTGAAAAATATTCATGATTTCAGATATGCTCACGAGTTTAAAAAAATGTCATGATTTTCAAAAATTGGTCACGGTTCATGAAAATGAGAGTAATAGTGTTTCTCGGTGATGCGGCAATTGCGGTCATGGTCATTGAAGATTATGATTTTTTTTCTCCCGTTGCAACGCACGGGCGGTTTTGCTAGTTTCCTTCAAAACATTGTTCATCTTTTATTGGTTCCGAACACCATGAAAGGGAAACTTTCCAGAGGACTGACTTTCCTATGAGACTCGTACAAATATCCTTTGAATGGAACGGGGCCTAATGTTCTAATTGAGAAAAGGCAATCTTGAACAGGCATATCAAAAAGCTCGAAGTGTGGATCCTTCCTATAAAGCTGTTGTGGAATATGTTGCCATTGTATTGATCATGGCGCTCGGCTGTGCTCCTGCTCGGGCGAGATGGCCCGAACGACGAATGGCTGCTGCGGCGGCTCGGCGGTCGATGAGTCCTCAAACTCGAAGTGGCCGTCGAAGCGAATCATGCACTCCTGGCTCGCATCCATCGTCGCCGATAAGCTGAAGGTCATCTGCGCGCGCGCGTGAGTGTGTGCCCGCTGCCGCTGAGAGCTGATCGTGGGCGTGGTCCGAAGTGAGAGCGCTGCTGAGCTCCTCGTCTCTGTGTTGAGCTGGGTGATGGCCGTGGGTGTTGTTTGAAGTGATGGACTGATGGGGAACAAGTGAGGCGGAGGAGAAATATATATGCGAGGTTGACGACGCATGGGACGCGGCGCATGCAGACCAGAGGTCACCGACATGCTCTTGTGCACTTGTTTTGGATGGGGGCTAGCTGGCTCATCAAGAGCTGTTTAATAAGAAGGAACGTGCGCGTTCGGGGGCCTCGGCCTCGGGTTTGTTTGTTTGTTTGTTTGTTTATCCCGGTATTCCTCCCGGGACGGGACAATCATGGCGGCAGCCTGTGGATTGACGGATCGGTCGGGTGACAGTGACGCCGGTAATGACGTTAGTGAAGTTATTATCAGGGAGTGAATCCGAAAAGAAATCGATACGGTCCACCTCACAATCCATATTGGATTGTCAAATTTATTAAACAAAAAAAGAGTAGTTCAAGAATTAGGAAAAGATATACAAAAGGAAATTAACTTTGTAAACCAGAGACTTAATATTTCTATCGAAAAAGTTAAAGAACCTTATGACAGCCTAACATTCGTGCGGAATATATAGCTTTCCAATTAACAAGATAGAGTTTCATTCGAAAATGATGGGGTCTGGACAGCAGATGAGGTCAGTCAGTCCGCCCCTCCCTTGAAAGGGTCAAAGCAGGTCAAGGGACGCTTTGGTTGTGTCAGCTCTAGCCGACATTAGCGTCGTGGAGTCACCTCCGCTCTAGAGCGACTGTTTTTTTTCCTTAAAACGAAGGTAAAAGATTTGCCTCATCTATTAAATAAAAAGAGAATAGAGTTTAGAGTTTTACAATACACCCATAGATACGGCATAACAATTACTCGCCCGCAAAAATACACCCTAATTTCTTTGCACCGGCGGTCACCCAACGCTTGGCCTCGTCGACGATGGCGACGAGTAGGATGGTTGGTGGCGCACTCTTAAGATGATCTAGAGCGGATGTGACCAACATGAATGTGCGGCAACTGATTCGCGTGAAGAGGGCTGTTGCAGTTGTAGTACTTTACTTTGGAGATGTCGCGCTTGATGTTGTCCGTGCCGTCACGCGCGCCGAAGATGCCATCACAGTTCCATCTGTTGCCCGGCGCACGAAAGTCGTTGTCGTGCCTCTGTTTTTTGCGGCTTCCAGCGCCAACGGTTCTAGCCATTTCCGTTGCTGTCCGAGCTTTGTCCCTGCTCGCACTCCCAACAGTGTGGGTCCCACTGTTGCTATGTGATGAGAAGCTGTCCGCCATTGGGATGAGGCATGGCAACCCCACAACGCTCCTCCGGCGTCCGTGGGCGACCAATCAGCTCCTCCACGCACACCGTGCTTAGGTCCAGAAGGGTCTCAACTGCCTCTGCGATTTGTGCATAAGGCTGGTTATAGTAGGGAGTAACTTAGACTAGTGTCATGCATATGACATTAGTCTAAGTTATTATCTTTATAGTGCAAAGTAACATACTAATAGTGTCATAGATGGCTTCATTTATTAGCTCATAGACTCATTTTGTCTCGGGAAGCGCTATGTTATAGTAACATATTATGTTACCACAAACACCTCTTTTCTCATTAAATACTTGCCACATAAGCAAAATTGTCTTAGGATGTGTTAAGTTACTATCTAAGTTGCCCCCACTATGACTAGCCTAATGGGAAGGAACGACTCGCAGAACTTTCAGTACCACACGTACCTCCTAAATGGTGACCCTGAGCGCATGCACCTGGTTCACCAGACTTGTGATGTGCATGCTGAATGCTTAGAGCGTCTTTCCGTCGTGAAAGGCGTTCTGTTCGAATTCCGTGCGTAGATGTTGTCTTAGGCCTTTCCCAATGCTCCACCTTGTATATGTGCTAAGCCTTCCACGTTGGTAAAAAAAATCTGATGTGGCAAGTTATTTAAGAGGATAGAGATGAGTGTGATGACCTCAGAAAGAAATAATGCTAAGCGCGTGAACCAAGGCAAAACATTTAAAAAAAAGAAGCCCACCAATACATGAAGAGCTTTAGTTGCTAAATTATTAAATGAAACAAGCTTAGCAACCATAAGCTAAGCACCTATACATTGGGGAGTATAGTTGCTAAGCTATTTAGGTGGTGTTTGGTTCAGAAGTCCTAGAACTTTTTCTAGTCCCTGTAGAAAAAGTCCTTTCTGTTTGGTTTCTAGGGACTTTTTCTAGTCTCTGGGACTAAAAAGTCCCTGAACCAAACACCCCTTAATGTGCTTAGCACTAGGGGCGGAGCTACAGGATAGACAAGGTGGGCCGCGGCCCACCCTGGGATTTTTGGCTGGCCTATATAGTATAGCTTATTAGGAGATGGGCCTGGGAAAAAAGAAGCCCAACAAGCAGCCTATGCTGGTCGTCTGCTTGTCCCGAGCGTAGCGACGCACAGGGGTCAACCCAGTCCAGGGCGATTGCTCAGACTTTGATCCGCCGCCAGCCCGCCCGGCCGCCCGAAGCCACCGCCGGACCGCCATGACGCCCGCGGCCTGCCTGCCCTCCCACCGCCCGGCGACTGCTGTCTGCGCAGGTGCGCAGTAGCACGCTGAGCCTCCCTGTTAACAGAACTGCCGGAGCCGCCCAATCCGCTCAGGTGTTGTGCCCGTCTCCTTTCTAGAAAGGTACCCATCCCCTGATCCACCCATCCCCCATGGTTGCTCACTTGATCTCTGATTTAGACATATTTGCATCGAATTTGACAAGATTTTTGGTACATGTATGAATTTGTCCAGACCCAGCAGCTCATCTAGCCTTCGCGCTCCTTGGATTCACTAGAGTCTGAAGACCAGAGGCGTGCAGCAGCCCCTGATTTCAGTTTATCCAGAGACCGAAGTCAGGTAGCCAGGGACTTTAATATGTTCAATTTTATTTACGGTTCAACAAATAACCTTGTCGATGTTTTTAGGACTACATTTTTGATCTATTTGTATATGATATTGCTAATTACTAGAAATGTTCACATGTCACATTCGTTATCAATTCTTTTAGAAGCACCACCCTGATTTCAAATCCTAACTCCGCCACTGCTTAGCACCTCATCTAATCACCCATGCATTGGCAGCAGCCTTAGGGCGCATGACCTCCAAGGTCTCCCGCGCTTCCTTGTTTGTCTTCTTACAACGAGAGCGCTCAGCATCTCCGGAGGGACAGCGCGCAGGATCATACAGTGGGCCACCTTGTCGTCACACACCTTTAGCTGGTTCCCTCAACAGCGTCCCAGAGCCCCGTGACTCCAGTTGACCTACATCACCAGCAACCATTCGATGTACTCCCTCCATCCGAAAATACTTGTCATAAAAATGAAGGGATATATCTAGACGTATTTTAGTTTTAGATATATCTTTTTTTTAATGACAAGTATTTTTGGACGGAAGGAGTAATTGTCAGATATGAGCGTCCGGAATGTCGAACGAGGTGCCGGAGCCACGCAGGCAGGCACTATCGATGCGCGGACCACCATCTCGTGGACAACTACCTGGTTGTCCCGACGCATGCAACTCCGCCCATGGCAGTGCTGTCGTGTTCGCGGCAAGGTGTGGGAGCGGGCAGACGCACCCGGACTGCTTTGCGGGTCGCCGTGGGCATGTACTCTCCGGGGTCCGACATGGTCGCCGGGATCGCAAGACGACTCTGATGCGAATTGTAGAGCTTAATCATGATTCACGAAGGGTAATGGCTAGAAACCAGTCGACTGAAAATCGAATTAGGTTCAGTTGACACTTCACAGAAGGAAGGAGATGGCCGGTAGATTTCCTGCCAAGACGCGAGTGAAGGCCCGCGGCCACGGGCTCGCATGCATCGTGCCTAAGCTACCAATGCAAATTGCAAAGAAGGCGGACGCTGCGACATGAACAAACTCACGCTACGTTGTTCTGCAACATGCAGCCTGTGTAGAGGCGGTTCCAAGAGTCCACTTTAAATACATGCATGCCCTCAATCTGGTCCATGTTTTTTTTTTTGACATTAATTCCTTGTCTCTCTTCCATGAAGTGGACAACAGCCTAATAAGCGATTATCTGTGTGTATGTGTTCTCGCGCTGATTCACCCAAATATCCATCCAGCAGCCAGCTCCTGAGTACATGAAGTTGGTCTGCCCGCTTGAGCTGGAATAGACTGCGGGTAGGTTGCTCGAATGTCACATTTTATTTTCTCATAAAAGTGTTTCACAACGACCAAATTTGGTTCACATAAACTTCTATTAGATGCACAAAATATAACAAACAAGAACATATATATGCATCATACAACTATTTCCAGCTGGCAGGAGAATATTTCACTTTCAATAAGCCACATGATGCTCCTGAGGTATAACCACTCTCGTAATCATCAAACAAATGTTAATTTTCTCAACATAATTTAATATTCAATACTGGCCCATGAATCAATTTGCATTGACATGCACTAGTGAAAATGTACCATATGCAATTATCATCATATTATTTTATTCAACTATGAAATATTATACTCCGTGGGATCCAAATTAATTGACGCAACTTTGGTACAACTTCGATCAAAGGGAGTATTTTAATCTAGTAATGCACACCCTTATTTTTCGAGTGGGCAGTTTTTTTTGGCAACCCCCTATGGTATGAAAACAAGGTGTTCCCTGTGCAATGAGGCAGCAAAAGCATTGAGGGTAAAATATTGATGGTTCGCCTTTCGTCTTACAATCCCTTGCAAGACACCATTTCAAGGTAATTTTGCCCTTATCTAATGATGAGACCACCATAGTCGCGTTGGCATGGCCATCTTCGTAGGTGCTCTCGGGCTCAGGACGACCTGTTACATACAAGCTATTATATGGCTGTCATGCACAATGGGCAGGTACCTTAATTGTTTACATGGAGGAACAATACTTTTGGCCCGCCAAAAAAAAGAGGAACAATACTTTTGAAAGATAGT